TTCCTTCCTTCCTTCCTTCCTTCCCTCCCTCCCTCCCTCCCCCCCGCTTCATGGCAGAAAACTATCTGAGCAAAAGAATGGAATTCAAATTGAATAAACCACATTTGCTCAATTGGAGAATGTGTCTTCCTGTCCAGATAAATGCCTACACATTGAGGAAGTCGTATTTGTTGATGAGAATAGAAAAATCATTTGGAAACAAAGAAATGAACAAGGAAAGCTGGAAAGCACCTGGGGATGGGAGGCGATATACAACAACTGCAGTGTCATCATTGCATGCTCACATGTGGAAAGACTCCATACTACCTAGAAGGGAGGAATATTTGGTGACAATGATGACATTTGCAGAGATGGTTAAATTGACTTCCTTGATTAAAGAAAAGTCAACTTCTACATTCTAAACTCAACTTTTCATTCCATACCTTTGTCTCTTTCTTTTTCTCCTTCTTTTTCTCTTTGTTTTCTGGGGTCTGTATTTGTTTTAGTTGGTATTTCTATTCTCTTTAAGAGCTTTTAATAAAAAATTATATAAAACAGTGGTGGTATTCTAGTAGTTCAGCCCGGTTCTGCCGAGCCGGTGGTGCTGATGAGCAGCGAAGACCGAACCAGTTCTCCAACATTCTGCTATTGGGCCCACCCGCCTGCTGGGCTCCCATACTAACCTTTATTTCCTGCTTTTGAAGCATAGCTGCTTTGCGTGGCACAGCAGATTGCCACGCAGCAGCTGCTGAAGCATCAGGGAGAGTGCAGGCTTGCAGGAGGTGAGTGAGCACACCTCTGCGCCTGCACAAAGTGCATGTTTGGTGCATGCGCATGTGCAAAGCGCACCCACTAAGCCACACCCATCGAACTGGTGGTAAAAATATTTGAAACACACCACTGACTTAAAAAAAAGAAAATGTGGGATGGTATGGAGGAAGCTCTTGTACTGGCAAGAAAATGTTCTCTGGGCAAATGCCATTTAGATGTGATCCTGTTTATCTTACATGCCTTTTATACCTGCTATATTTTTGTGAACCATTTTATACCTATTTTATTTGCTTAGTATTGAAGATTATATGTTTGAAGGTGCTTCTGATAGAAAGAAAGAAAGAATATGCACACAAACACAAAGAATTCATCACACACACACAAATAACAGAGAGACCCAGTCATCACCTAGATGGTTGAGATTCTCCATAGACACACAGACATACACAGAGAAAGTTCTAATGATGGGCTAATAAGGTCAGAAAACTGGCACAGCACAAGATTGTTTTTCTAGTCATCCTTTTTTTAAAATAGAATTGTCTTAAACTCAGGGCCATTTTTCTCAGGAGTAAATATGATAGTAGTTGTGATCTCTAACAGCTAAACCTACATCGACAGATTTAGTAAACCATCAATCATGGGCCACTCCTGGACACAAATTTTGGGCTATGATTATTTTTATCATCTCTTGCTTTTAATCTTCATGAAGAGGTTGGCTGGATTAAGTGACTCTTTGAGAAAACTCTGCCTCCATCTCTTAATTCAATATACAATAGGTATCTCATCCTTTGTTCTCACAGTGAACTACCGTGTTAAGACTCTGTCTTATTTTTTTTTGCCACCAAAAAAGGCATCAAGTCTTATTTTCAGGGGATGTCAACCACTTACTAATCACACTTGTGTGCATTGCCCCCAGCCTCCTTTTTGTTGTCAGAGGCCTTCAGGAACTTCTGTGGCTGGCAAAGCTTTCTTGAAGGCCTCTGCAGCCGATAACAGAGCTCTGGATCAATCTTGAGCTTTGTTATCAGCTACAGAGGTCTTCATGAAAGCCTTGCCAGCCTTGCCAACTGCAGAAATGGGCCGGCAAGACAGATGTAGGAGTGTGCAAGGCCTGGCTATAACTGTCCAAAGGTAAGTAGTAGGGCAGCTCCAGCCCCCCATCCCCACATTAGCTTAATTTTTATCCATGCACTCTGGAGTAGGCAGGATCTTAATTAGGGCTTATTTGGGGGGTAGGGGCACACATGTAAAAAAAATCAAGCTAGGACTTACTTTCAGGCTAGGTCGTATTTTCAGGGAAACAGGGTAGTTCCTTTTTTTTTGGTTTCAGATGGAAAACTCCAATGGGAAGAGGAAGCAAATGTTAATCGCTTGAAAAGCACAGAGGTGAGAATGAGAGTTATACACTATCATCTATGGGACAACATTGGAGAGAATTTTCCTAGCCATGAGGTAGGATTTTTTAAATGTAGCAGCAGATGATGGACAGTGATTGAAGCACAGCATTCTGTTCCTGGTTTCCTTAATTTGGCTATTCTCAAATATGTGGGCTTCACCTTCCACAATTCCTTGGATACCTCAGCATGGTCATTGTTGAGAATTCTGGGGTATTAAAGTCTTTACATCTAAAGAAAAAAACATACCCAGATTGCGGGATTAACTTCTCTGTTGGATTTACTTGCCTTGACATCTTTTCTTCTCCTTCCACAGACTTTGCTGACCCTCACCGTTCCTGAATACAGCAACAAGAGAGTTTCACGGCCTGTTCAGACATATTTCTATATTTCCAATGGGCGCCGGAAAAGAAGTCCAGCTCAAGGCTTCAAATATTTGCCTGGTAAGTAAAACTGGATGATGGGAGATGAGTATGGTTGAGTGCTAAAATGTGCTTGATGATCCCTGCCAACCTTCTCCTTTTCATCTCTAGTGATCTTCAAAGAAGAGCCACATCTGGATTCCACACCCCATGCATTCCCACATATCACTCCAAATGTTCCTTTTTCACTACCACCAGCACAAGGGGCCATGGATTTCTCCCCTTCCAGACCTCCCTTCTCTTACAGTCCTGAGCGTTCCCCACCTTATTCCCCCTATGGGTCCAATTGGAGCCCTTGCTCATTCTCAACCCCTCCCCATTACAGCCCGGCCTTCCGTTTCCCTCCCAGCGAGACCTACGGGGGCATTAATCTCTCTGTACCCCGCCTTGCTCCTCCAAACCTGACCCATCTTCATGCTTTAGATTGCCACCCTCCACACTTCCAGCCTGTTAGTTCACAACAGAGTCCTCATTCACCAGGACGGAGAGAAACCCACAGTGGGGAGAGGTCGCCAGAATGGACAAATCCAGACCTTGGATCCCAGGAGTTTAGCTCCAAGGAACTGGAGAAA